CCCCAAAACCCCAAAACCCCACATTTATATATTATAGCAGTAGAAGTATTAATGAAATAATTAACTTTCACTTTCAGAAGTTAAATTTGAATAAAAAATTTAAAATTCAAAAAATGAGTGAGGAAGATAATCTAGAATTGCAATAAATAAAAGAACCAGTTGATGAACTCGAGCCAAATGAGTAATTTATCCCAAGAGTTCCACCTCGTGAAATACTGAATAACATGAACTCTTGGTATAGAAGATTAAAATTTAATATATTCACCAATCCTTAAATACTGTAAAAGTAAAAAGACACTCAAAAGCAAATGAAATTATATTGCGCCTAGCTCAAGTTTAACCCTCAAATGGAAATCAGCAGGCCAGAAGATACTTACACTACTTAAAGATTATAGAGCAACTTCCAAATTAAATGCTTTGCTACTTTGTTTAGCGCCCTTGATATGGATTATTACGGAAGAACTACTGAGTCTTAAAAAATTTCATTGGTCACTGATCCAAGTAATCTTAAAATTCTGAGACCATCTGATATTGATTTAAGCTTTAATGACTTTCAAGTATTTATGATAACAAAGAAATTTAATAGAGATTCCTTCTTGGTCATAGATATTGCTCTTATAGAGATTTCTGTAAAGTAGGAATAGATCTATCATTAATTAGGATTCGTTGTTTTGCCACTATTCTAAAATTATGATCCTTTAATTCCAATGAGATATATTTATAAGGGATCTCCTAGATTGCTTAATAGCTTAAAGCCAGACTCACTTTATGAAGAACAGATACCTTAACTTAAAAGTATAGGTAAATAAATAAATTACAGATTTCTCGAAGTTAATGATAAGTAGCAAATAAAGAAGTTTATTAGTATTGCATAGCTGATTTCAGATTCTTAAATATTTAGCTGTGAGGATTACTTTCCTGGTATTGTGGGAAATCGCTTCCCTTAAAAAATTCTGAGAATGCCATTTAGAATGAATCAAGGACTGAAAAAGACTCTCTATGTTTATCGTTTAAGAATGGTCTTTGAAGGTATTAGTGAGACAGATATAATAGTGAGACTTAAGCAAAGAGCGTAAAAATTACTGTAATTACCTGTAAACAGTAAAATATAAATCCAAATAGAGGAAAGAAGAGTTATAATTTTTGCACATAATACTTGGAGATAGATTGGCAAAGAACTAGATTTGAATCTATAAGAACCTGTTGATAATGTAGGATAAGGAGTATAAGTCTTATACGCTGGAGCAAATATATAATTATCAGATTTCGTTATAGATCCCTAAATTGCAACAGTTTTCAAGATATACTATTCTACACGAATTATTGTGAATGATACTCGAGTCTTTAAGGATACATTTAACTTTGCTAATTTCATTTATCTACCTACTTTGATAACTCAAAAGCAGTATGATGATATAGTTGATGAGATTTTTACTTAGGAGGTATATTTAAATCATGAATAGACTTAGTTTTTCGGAGATGTTTCTTACTTCCATCCTTCAAAATAACCAGTAAAAGCGGTACTCTAAGCTATAATATCGACTAAGGTATCAGCTGCTACCAATTTAGATATTGCAAATTTAAGAGTTCAAGTTGATAAATCAAAGAAAAGATCTGAGGAAGAATAGATACTATCTGAAATACCTTCAGATTAATTTCGCATTCAAGTTCAAAACGAGTTATTGATAAGAAGATAGCTTCAAGGAGACCTGATATATTAAAAATAGGAACAAGGACGCTAGATTGAAGAAATTGAAAAACTAAAATTTAAACAGGATGTCAAAACTGGTTTGACCTACTTTGATAAAGTTCAAGAGATAGTCAAGTAAGGAGAAAAAGAAGTAGAGGATTTAAAACAACAATACGAAAATAACTTGAATAAACTCATTTAGATAACAAATTAAGATGAATTCAAAGAGAAAATAAACAATCTTAGTGAAAATAAGATCATAGTAGAAAAAATAGAGCAGGAGAGATCTAAGTACGAAGATCACTTAAAAAGAATATCTGAGTAAAATCAAGAATTACTTGATGAAATGGAGATAGAGAAAAGTACAGAGATGACTAGATAGCAAACACTTGCATTCATTAGACTAGGACATCTTCAGATGTTTAATCATAACTTTAGTGAAAGGAGTGAGATCAAATTATAAAGGGAGCTCAATGATGCTTAGAGAAAAAGTAAATATCAGATTACAATACTTGGTTTTGAAGGTGAATAAAATCCTGGATCAAAACTCCTAATTAGATTAAAATTTTTCACAAGAACATCACAGTAGCAACTTGGCAGATTAATCATTTAGAAAAATACTTCAAATGTATATCGAAAACATGAAAAATCTCTTTTTTGGATTAGATAATTCGATTTCGATACTAAAATTCAAAATAATATGACTTTTACCTACGATATTGACTGTATTCATGAAAGAGATATGAGTGATTTCTTTAAATATATGTATTAAGGATTCCTGCAAGTTGAAATATTCGATTATCACACTCTTTTCTAAATCGCAACTGGAAGTTGTAATGTAATAACATCACTAAGACAAGGTAAAGAATACTAAGTCGTGGGCTATAGTCTTAAAATGAGAGATTTCAATTAAAAATTACTGGGAAATCTGTTTATAATGGTTGAAAATATAGGATAGTTTATTCCTTAAGATTATATAGATGAGGCAAACAGAATTCATAGTAATTAAGAAGAAAAGAAAAAAGTATACTCGAAGGCAAATGACGAAATGTTCCACCATTCATTAGTAGATACTTTTATTGATGATCATGATTTTGATAAGGAAAATATGGATGAATCAGAGAGAAAAAGATTAAGAGTTTAACGATTCATGAAGAGCGGAGCTAGTCTTATCCAACCTCTTAAGGTTGAAGCTAATAATATTGAAAAAGAACTATAGCTTAAGGAATTCATGTCATCTAAGCAGCTAAATTAATCTAAAGTAGCATTAGAAAAATTGAATCAAGCCATACTGAAGCATAAATCAATAGATGTGAGATAGGGAGAACCTTCCTTCTATATTCTTGAGATTAAAAATCCTTATGAAGCAGATGAGATATTTACAGTTGAAATTAAAGACGAGGTAATCATTTCACTTGATTTAGAGCCTGAAGTTAAAATCATCACTGATATAAATGAGTTGAAATTTTGGGTTTCTAAAGGGTTTTATCATTAAATAGATCTTTAGTAGTTAGCTGATGAGTATAGCGAAATATTCCTATCTGAGGGCAGAATGTTTTTGAAAAAGAGGCAATCCATAAGATTACTAATAAAAATATTAACCTCAAGGGAATCTAAATGTTAAGAGCAAGAAGGACTAATTGAAGATGTAAATTATTTTGGTAAAAGGATTGTGCAGCTCACAGTTTATCATTAGAATAAAGACGTATACACAATTAGTAATATCGAGATTGTGCCCAGATATTAAAATTATGAAGTATTGGAACTAAAAGATCACTATATCTAGGCTGATAAGAAAAATGAGATATTACTAATAAAAAATTTTAGCAGAAGAATCTCCAGTATTAATGCTGAATTAGATAAGGATCTGCAGCAAAAATACACATTCAAATCTAATCTTAATGCCAACATACTCTACAATGAATAAGAAAATCTTAGGATTAAGTTTACTTCATCTAATCATGTAGGAAAAGTCTATGATATCTTTATTTTTGTCTACGAGAAATAAGATTTCCTATTTTAGCCGTTACACATCTATAAATTCTCACTATAATCAGCTCTATTCTTAAAACCTAACATGAAGCTAGGTAAAGAATCTGTAATTGACTTAGATCTGAACAGGAAAAAGGGAAAGCTAAGACTTTTGAAAATGAGTGAGAAGATGATGCTCCAAAATAATATAAATCTAATGATTGATCCAAATGAGGACGATAAATACTATCTTAACTTAGTCAGTCTAGGAGATAAACTTATAAAAAACCCAGATGGTTCCCACTAGGATTTTGAAACATAAAATAAGACAAGGTTTTATTTGAATTTAGTGGATAATAAGACTAAAGCCGTCAAGTATCCTATTATAGTTGAACCTCATTTTAAAAGACCTAAAATAGATAGGTACATTGAAATCAAACTTCATGAGAACTAGGATGCTTTTAAATTGAAGATAAAAAATCCCTTTATTAATACAAGAATCTGTTCGCTATTGGTTTAAGATATAGAAGTAATTTAATGTTATCAAACAATGGCTATTGCTGATAAGAAAAATATGATTGAATTTAAGTTTAGAGTAATTACTCAATAGAGAAATAAAATTGAGACTGTGATTAGTATAGTGCCTTTGTTTCTTGGATATGGTGACTCAATGAATTTTTTTATTAAAATAGCGCCAATATAGTACAATTGAAATTTGATAACTATTAATTTCATAATTTTGAATTCTAATAATTGAGAAATTTTAATAGCTCGGGGTTTTGGGGTTTTGGGGTTTTGGGG